CGTGTAACTGATTATAGTAGACACGATTTATTGGGAAAAGAACCTATCCGTGTACTTATTAAGACACTTCTTAATGATTCTGACACAACAAAACCACTGTCGTTATCTCATTATTTTATCGCCTGCGTTATATTACCTTAACGAAGGTCAACTATGAGTATATAAGGTCCAACTACCTGCAAATTATGAAGAGGACTGTTGTTTTTTGGATTCAGATTAAGTGTTGGTTTTTATGCAGTTTACCGCCCCAAAATTTATTTTTTATTATACAATTTATTTAAAGGAAAACTATTGTTTTGCATATTGTTATACTGTTATTCATTTGAAGTGATTCGCGCTTGATTGTTAAAATTATCTCATATGAGATATGTAATCTGCTTCGTGCTAGTTTTAATTTTTTAGTGTATAATTTTGTAGCTCTAATTTTGTATAAAATATTTCATTATTTTATTACTGTGTTCAAGTTAAGATATATTTTAATAGTATTTAAAAGTCATGAATGATAGTACTTTATTTTATGACTAGATCAAATCTCGTGACCATTTAACATCATGATACTGCTGCTATACTATTATTAAAATCTCCATAAAAGGTTATTGTTAAATAACAGTTAACAGCCGACCGCTAGTAATATATGTAGGTAAAATGTATTGTTATCTCCATCACAGTACCAGAATACGATTTATTTCAATTTAAATGTAGGAAAATCAATTTTTCTTTAGAAAATAACAAGAAATTAATATACAGGATGGGGTAGTAAAACGGCGATTTTCTAATGTATTTAAATGGGACCCGTTTAGGGAACCTACCCGTTTCACTATCCCACCCTTTACATTTTAAGGATCTATGAAAATGTTTTTTTAGTTGCATTTTATTTTGTACATTGCCAATCTAGTAAAATAGAAGTATGATATAGCTTCGAAATAATATAATCTATGAAGTATAAATAGTTTGTGTGAGATTGCTCTAATGGAAGTATATAATACATAAATATTAATTTTATTGAGAATAAGCGATTATAATTTAAACTATGGAGTACAAACGATTGAAACATGAATCGTCAACAATTCCATCAAAATATAACAAGACATTGTATATGTGTTATTTGGTCCACTACGTTTTTGCAAAAAAAAAAAAAAAAAACAGTACAGTGGGGTCGGGGCATAGTGGGGACGGAGCATAGTTGAGTCGGGGCATAGTGGGGACGGGGAGGTCACAGGTTTACAGGAATTTTTAAATCAGAAAGTGATAAAATCACTTTCGAAAAAACGCTTCGATGCAAATCGGTAGTTAGTATTTTCAAGCCAGTACAGTCCAAACCAAGCACAGTATAAACCAGCAAAGCAAGAAAGTTTTAAATTGCTTTGATTACATTATGCCTATACTGTACTAGTCCTCTCGGATAAAATCACTTTCAAATTAATGGCACAAGTTTTTTATACTTGCTATTATTGCATTTAGAAATAGCCAAACCGAACGATGATGCCTGAAATTAAAAAATCTGTTTCCTAAATAACCTAGAAAAGGTGCCAAAGTTACTAATCTTAAGTAGTCAAAATTTTGCCTGGCTTTTTGGTACAAAATCCTTTAATAAGTGATTTTCTTAAAAATGATCATTGAAATTAAATTTACAAACAAGACTTGTTCATTCAGTGTAAGTAAACTGAGTTTAGACACAAAACCAAAATTACTATCTTTTTTTTGAAATTTTAACGTATACAATCGCCAAGTACACAAAAAAGTAAACCCGTTTTAACTTTTGAGTGCTAAGGCCTCCTATAATATCATTTTACTTTAAAATCTCTTCAGATTTTTTTTACTTTTTTTCCCTCAAACAAAAACCGGATAAGACTTTCTGGAAGTTCGGATAGTACTGGAATTATGTAACGATTAAAAATCAGTAAATAATATTGAGATATGTTTAGGTAATTAACAAAACTTTCATTCAAAATAATAACATCTATTTTCTTTTATTTTTAAATTGAAATTGTGGTTTTCAAGATTTTTGTGTAATAATTGACTTGTTTTAATTAATAAAACTTCAAGTTTTATTTCAATGAAAAAGTTCATTGAAAAATATTATAATTCCTGGAGGTGTGATTTTCATAACATCAGGGACATGTGTATTCTTAAAAGTGAACAAAATTGCTGCGTTTACTCCTAGAATCCGTCTGCATTTATACTGTGTGAAATTACTCCTATTCTCGGCACGTGCAATAGGAGTTTTTATACCAACTGGCCACGAGTCTTCCGTGCAGCGATTTAGATAAGGTGGCACAATAATATCAGGTGGACATTTTCTGTCCTCCAACGCATGTCGCATTGTTGATTGTTGCAGCCTAACCGGTTAACTCCACTTTTTTCAAATTGCGAATAATAGTATGGTTGGATTAAAAAAGTGTATAATTTTCAGTGGCCAAGGTAAATAACTCCATAGTTGAATTTTTCACCGCTACAGTGCGCTAAGTATACATTGGCAATTGTACTTGGCGCACTAAGTACATACATTGTTTCAAATAACTTTAACTGCCTATCCTGAAAATGTTCATTTTATAGAGTTCATCAGTTTGGCTCCTGAGCGCATCATTTGACAATTTGTTTATAATTATTTCTATTAAATTACTGATTTGAATATTTTCAAAAAACATTCGAACACATTTTGGGCACTTTATAGTTGGAAGTTGGATGCTAGCTTATGCGTTTTTTTTCAGTACAGAAAAATTATTATTATTAATCCGAAATTCGACAAAAGACTGAGATTCCACTGTTAAAACTCAACCTATCAATTTACTTAAATAAAAAACGGTATAACACTGATTATCAGAAAATTAAAACATACATATTTCTTGAAAATTACTTAGCTTTAGTAATAATAGCGTTAAATAATTGAATAAATTATAATTACCTCTTTCGAAGAATCCATTGAATTCGCCGCCAGAATGTAGTATGTCAAACACATCAAAATAATGATATTTATATTCATTTTTGCGGTAATAATAAATGCTACTAATTCTCATATGACACTTAACTCTATCAAATCTACTACACGAATGTTTCATACGCTCTCAAGAACAGTCAGCTTTGTAAAAGTTGTTGCCAAAATAATATTTACTTAGTTTTGTCAAAGAAAGACACGTTACATTTTACTGCACAAACACGAGCAATAATAATAAAAAACACTTTTATCTGTTGAATATAATGTATTACGGTATTTTAATAAAAAAAAAAAAACCGATTCTTCGTGCCTTTTTTTTAGTGTAGAAAAACATTATACTACACCTTATATAATAGAAAATCGTTTTTCTTTAAATATATTTTTATTTATCGCACATATCAGAGTTACAGTCTGGGGAAATTTAGGCCATTTAAAAACTCTTACAAGGGTAGGTCACGGTGAAAGAGTGACGGTTTTTCTTCGAATTCTTCTTCTTCCATAGATATAAATCGCAATTCATCTTAATCGTTGTCATTTATAGTTCTCATGTCATGCAAAACCCTCTGTGAGGGTCTTAACTGATTTTGACTCATCGTCAACACGTTTTATAAATTTTAATAAAATGTTTTGTAATGGATTTAAGTCCCAATTTAACAAGTTGTTTCTATTTTTCAACATTTCTATTGATTCCCCAGTATTAAGGTCTTTAGAGTTATTTACATATTTTAGTAATTTACTGTGCAAACATATTAAATAGGGTTTATGATAAATTGTTAAAAAAAAAACAACTTCAAGAAGACATTTTAAATGAAAATACCTATAAAAATGTTAGGTCGGTATATAGGTAGTTATAAATTATATGTTTTTCCCTCCCATTTTTATATAGACAATCTGTACCTACCTCTAGACGCAATAAGAGTATAAGCTAAGAGAAATATGAAAAAGAACAGCTTGACGAAAGCAGTCACCCATTGATGACAATTCCTATTTGTGTTTATTTTATTATTATTAATGTCTAGAAAACGTGTGTTTGTGTTTGTTGCATGTGTTATATGTATAATAATAATAGATACTAATAGATAGATTTAATATCATGCATTAATAAGAAAAAAATAATTATAAACTCAATAAACTTTCTATAAACAATTTTTATTTACAATATAAAACAATATGTGTAAATAGAAACAATAAGAGCATAATATATTTTTGTAATTTAAGTAAATAATGCAAGAATGATGTTTGAACACAATTAAGTAACATTGTTTATAAGAATTAATTATAATATTAAACCTAATTTTTTTACTGCATGCTGTTTGGCTGTGTAATGTACAATGCTGCGTTTTCATACAAATCCCTGGTCGACTGATTTCCCAGATATGGTAAGAGTTTCACTGGATTTATTGGGTTGGTGCTTGCTTGTAGATTAGACTAGTTGAGTGGCTGCAAGGGGTCAACAATGGTATCATCAGATACGGGTTTGTGAAACGTTTAAGGTCAATTTTGGTATTTTTTAGCAGATCCGTTTAGGAATCACGCAAGTTGTTCCATTTAAACTGTGAAGACAGTTTCACCTGTTAATCAGAACAAAACATAAAGATATTATGAATTTTTTTTTTTTTTTTTTTAAATTACTTACAGAACTGTATTTGTGTAGTAACCTTGTAGTAAATTTTCAAAACTTTTTCCCAAAAATTTAAGTTTCTATTGTACAAAAAATGAAAAAATTAAGTCAACAAGACGTTTTTTAATTACAATTATGATTTTTGCTTACTTGTTTGATTGAGTTGCTAAGAAATTTCAATATATAGCACAACGCAGCACAACAAAAACATAGAAAACGCTCCTGGGGCAATCCAAGATCTGAAGACACAGATAAACAGACACATTCCTCAAAACTCGAGGACCAAATGGAGAGTTTGAAACTCCACAAAATACTTCAACAGCATCATCCGAAGAGAGCAAACCAAAATAAAGAGAAAATAAAGAGAGAACCAAAAAAACCAAAAAAAAGAATTGAGCAAACACCACTCGTGCAGCATGAACTAGACGTGGAGACGCCGGAGCCTTAGATGATGAAATTTGGCAAACGGCAATGCTTCTGGGCGTTCTTACACTGACGGCTTGGAAAAGCTAATTCCATCGCCTGTTTCAGAAGTTCGAAATTAATTTAATTGGGTTACAAATTGGCCACAAATAGTAATTATTATAAAATCTTAGGTATATAATACCGCAACATGATTAGCAAAAATATTAAGCTACAAAATTAATGGTGTGTGTTATTAGACAAATTTTGGAAAATATTGTACTTACTCGCTCTACGATGGCTAGTTTAGCTTCCAATTCTTCTATCCGACCGGTTGCTTTGACTAAGTGGTGTTCGGATATAGCCAGAACGGCTCTGACCACGTGAGACTTGGCTCTCAAGTTGGCTTTAAGCTCGGCCATCTCCTCTTCTTTGGCCATATCTAATACAAAAAAAAATACTAATAATAAAATACGGTTTATTATCCAAATCTTTCCAAAGACTTTTAAACTGACATAAACATAATGTATTAAAACAACTCTTTTGTTTATCTTTTTCAAACTCTTATAAACAACCGCTCGCTATTACATTAAAACTAATTAATATTATAATAATTTTGTTTTAAATATTATATAAGGAACTTGGCATAAAAACTGTAGCTTAAACATACCTATCTACTATTCGACGAAAACCTCCAATGTTGTTGTGCGAATTTCTATTTATTTAGCATTTTAATATATTAAACACTTTTATTATAACGACCATTTTATAATAAGCTACAAAATTAATGGTGTTTGTTGTATTAGACAAATTTTGGAAATTATTGTACTTACTCGTTCGGGCTAGTTGCAATTCTTCTATCCGACCGGCTGCTTTGCCTAAGTGGTGTTCGGATATAGCTTGAACGGCTCTAACCACGTGAGACTTAGCTCTCAAGTTGGCTTTAAGCTCAGCGATCTCTTCTTCTTTGGCCATATCTAATACAAAAAGAAAAAATACTAATAATGAAATACGGTTTATTTTCCAAATTCTCCCTGATAAACCTTGTCGAATATATTGTACTTACCGTCCTTGACCATGTTCGCAATGTCGCGTTCAAGTTTAAGTGCAAGTCCACTGTGGTCGGTCATGATTGATTGGCATTGTGCAGCTTTTGCAACGATGCCAGTTAAACCGGCCTTGACCACCTGCAGTTCTTTGTTCAGCATTGCGTTTTTTTTCTGGACTTTAGCATTTTTCATGCGCAGTCTTTTCATTTTTAGCTGGCCTTGTACTTGAAGCAGAAAAAAAATTGTTTAAAATTAAATTTTTACAGTTTTTTCTATTTTAATATTTACCATTGCGTTTGCGCTTGATAGTCACCAGTGTCATTTTAAGACATTGATTTTTGTCCACAAGTTTTTTGTTGCCGTTCTTGACATGGGCCAAATTCGATTCTAGTGCTTTTAATTGGTCTTTTATTTGGTCTCGTTCTTGAAGCAGATCATTTATATTCACCTTTTTCATACTCTTTTTTAAACTTTGTTTTTTTATTTTAAACTTAAATTTTGGAAAATATTGTACTTACTCGCCCTACGATGGCTAGTTCAGCTTCCAATTCTTCTATCCGACCGGCTGCTTTGCCTAAGTGGTGTTCGGATATAGCTTGAACGGCTCTAACCACGTGAGACTTAGCTCTCAAGTTGGCTTTAAGCTCAGCGATCTCTTCTTCTTTGGCCATATCTAATACAAAAAGAAAAAATACTAATAATGAAATACGGTTTATTTTCCAAATTCTCCCTGATAAACCTTGTCGAATATATTGTACTTACCGTCCTTGACCATGTTCGCAATGTCGCGTTCAAGTTTAAGTGCAAGTACACTGTGGTCGGTCATGATTGATTGGCATTGTGCCGCTTTTGCAACGATGCCAGTTAAACCGGCCTTGACCACCTGCAGTTCTTTGTTCAGCATTGCGTTTTTTTTCTGGACTTTAGCATTTTTCATGCGCAGTCTTTTCATTTTTAGCTGGCCTTGTACTTGAAGCAGAAAAAAAAATTGTTTAAAATTAAATTTTTACAGTTTTTTCTATTTTAATATTTACCATTGCGTTTGCGCTTGATAGTCACCAGTGTCATTTTAAGACTTTGATTTTTGTCCACAAGTTTTTTGTTGTCGTTCTTGACATGTGCCAAATTTGATTGAAGTCCTTTTAATTGGTCTTTAATTTGGTCTCGTTCTTGAAGCACATCATCTATGGCTCGATTGCTTTGCAGAACATACCTGGCTTCGTCACATTGGGCCTTTAACCCAACGACAACGTTAACAAGCTGTTGCCTGTTAAAGTTTTTATTGGGTTGTATGCCCAATGCGACGCTTAAGTTTTCTACAAGCCAATCCAACTGTTGTCTCGCCTCTCTCAATGGCTCCTGGTCCTTCATTTTGTGGTCTACAGCTCCAATTGCGTTTGACATTGTTGAAGATACAGTTATAGTTTCGAGTTCAGTCCAAGAACTAAAAATCGAAGAATATCTAAACAATTAATATAGCAAAGAAAGAATTATACCAAGACTATAATGAAGTCAAAAATACTTTTGTTTGTTATAAATATAAACACGAAACTTAGTGTTGACAACGACGCTTGTAAACGGATAAATTTGAACCAACAAATTGTTTGTTAAATTTATTTAAAAGCTGTTTCGATTTTAAATTAGAAAAAAAAAAATTATTGTAGATGTCTACATTCGGTGTGCGCTGGACAGTAATACAAGTATAAATGAATTTGACTTCGGATTTTTGGGAAAATTGTCTATTATGTTATAGCCCCGTCGTTAATCTGCTTTAAGCTCTTAAAAAAGTGGAAAAAAAAAGACAAGGTTACATTTCGTCTACCACTAAGGGTACAATTATTATTGTATTGATAAATACATAATAATATTTTATGTAAGAAATAACATTCACACGATTCATCAAATCAAAACATATTTTATTAGTACAATTATAACATTTTTTTTACAAGTACAGTATGATTTAAATTGAAATTGAAATTAAGATACATGTTTTGAACGTTTTACATTAACGAATAAAGTATAACCAAAATAGGTGTAAATGATTGAAAAAGAAAAATTTTAAAAATGATTTCCAATGCAATTGTGCAGTTAAAAATCAACATTTCAACATGTTTCTGTACTGCAGTTTTTCAAAAACGTTTTTAAATGCGAACGCTATAGTCATTGATAAACTTTATGTAAGATTGATATAAATCGAATTCAAGAGTATCTTTATAGTGCAGTTGAATTTCACCAATAACCGTAGTTGCTTTTTCCGATTGGCGCTGAACCGGGTGTGTCGAATATTCTAATAGTGGGATATTTAAAACACGGCATAACCTTTTGTGTTCTTGTTGGAATTTTCCAGACATATAGTCTGCGTTTTGTTAAAAATAATCTGCACCGTGTTTCAAGATGATACTGTTGAGTTCACAGAAGACATCGTCGTTGTTTAAGTGTAACGCATTAATAACGCGCGGTAAAACCATTTGGAAATCTTCAATCGAAAAATCAACGTCTCCGTCTGTATCATAAGCGGCTAGTTTTGGCCTTGAGCTTATCATACGACTTATTTGCATCGGGAATTCCCACGTGAGTCGTACCAACATAAATCTAAATATGCCAACAATGATAATGTTAACATTGCCAAACGTGAGTAATCCTTGCAACCCACTGTTTTTGGGAAACTTTACACAACAATTCATCGTTTGATTCAACGCATTCCAAGTGTCCGAATCCACGAGCGAAGGCGAATACAATTGGAATCCGCAATTTGATGACCGCATTTAAGCAGGTCGAATCTGAGAGATATGTTTTCCCTTAGCTGTTCGTTGGATAAACTAGAGAAATCGGGTCCCAACTCTTCGGTCTTATAGCCACTTTTAAATGAACTCACTTGCTTCCACTGTGTTACTAGTTTCCCATGCTCGACCTGTTCGACATCTTCGCACAACAGCGGCTCGTGTTGGATCATGAAAATAATTACAAAGAGTACACAACATTTTGTGAAAATCATTTTCAACGTAATGTCGCTTTCCAATACAACACAAGCCAATTTATATACTTTGAACAAATTTGCCTTTCAGATGCAAAAATATGTAGAATCCAAAATTGTTTATTTTATTATCTGAGTGGAAATACGATTAGTTAAACAGATTTAGTTACAGTCCATTTTTGTTGATAACATTTATCCGTTTAAACTGTTGTTGTGCATTTTTTGTGTCTTCGCCGAACAAATAATCCCCCCCTGAACCGGTTAGTTTTGTTTATTTTTACAATATAACATGTTGATAAAACATGTTAACTGAAATGGCTTTTATACTCGTAGGAAAATTTTTTTAAATCATAAATAATACCTTGAAACTTTTTTTTTTTGTAAATATTGCCTATACAAAACTCCTTAAAAACGGAAAACTTAAAGTAAACCTAAATTTAAGATACTGTAGATGAGGCTGTTGTCGAAGCTGGATCAGGTTCTGTCGAAGATGCAACGGATTTTGTCGAAGATAGACGGGGTACTGACGATGATGACTAAAAATAGTAGTGTATTACGTAATATTTGATATTATGTATTGTGTACCTACTATATAATATGTTTTGAAAATATATATACTTCAATATTACAAGAATAATCGTTGTACTTAATTTTACCTGGCCCAATATATCATAAAATCTTTCTTTTGTGTACTATAATGTAAACTCAAACAGTCGCCGCTAATGTAGTAGATTGACAGTACGGAAAGCCAAAATGTCGGTTGGTACTGATCAGTTAATACAGGTCTATTAACTCATAAATGATATAGCTAACTCACACAAAGCCTTAACAAGCCAAATAGAGTCTGTAAAACTGTTTTTTTACTACTACTACTAACTGTTTTAGCTCCGATGCAAAGCGAGAAGGTATTGGTTTTACTCTGATGTGGGCTTTTTTTTTATCTGTATACACTGTAACTTTTTTAATACTGGACCAATTCCTTCGAATAGCAACTCTATAAATCACAAATTTTATCTAGTTGGTACTTTGGGGAGGTAAAAGTTAAAAAAATTTACTTCTTCACAGACGAAATTTGAAAAAACAAAAAAAAACCGTACGAGTTTTTAAGTTACAGTGTATACAGATAAAAAAAAAGCCCACACGATATCACGATATTGTTATTCCTTTAAAATTAGGTCAATTGTAATACAATTTTAAAACATATTATGTCTTGGTGCTCACATGCATAGCTTTTGTAGGTAGTCTAGGCGGTACCGTGTGTTTTTGTTTCTTTATTTGTTCTTGACAATTGAGTACATAATAATACTTTGGTATAATATACACCTTTACATACGTAGACTAGTGTAAAATATGGTGTCAACTTGTATATTACGATAAACCACAATAGATTTACAAGACAAACATGACTAAGCTTTTTGTAGACAATATCAATATTATATTACTATCGAAAATTATAGGCTTAACATGTATAGACTTTGTAGAGATAGTGTAGAGATTTTTGTAATATTACAATTAGTATAAATGATTTATATATAATATTATTTTGTGCGTAACATTTTGTATAGCACATATTATATGGTGAATATAGTTTTATCCGAGATGACTAGTACAGTAGAGTATAGGCATAATGTAATCATAGCAATGAGGAAACGGAGAGGTCACGGGTCTACAGGAGTTATTATAAATGAAAGTGATAAAATTGAATAAAATCACTTTCAAATAAACGCTTTGATGCTCATTTGTAAATACAGAACCTTAATTTAAGACTTTCTTACTTTACTGCTTTACTTGGTTTGGACTGTACTGGCTTGAAAATACTAACTACCGATTTGCATCGAAGCGTTTTTTCGAAAGTGATTTTATCACTTTCAGATTTAAAAATTCCTGTAAACCTGTGATCTCCCCGTCCCCACTATGCCCCGACTCAACTATGCTCCGTCCCCACTATACCCCGACCCCACTGTACTGGTTTTTTTTATTTATATCAATAGATTGTTTCAGTATACACATTTTTTATTAGAATAGCATTTAATGTGTTTTTTTTTTTGGTTCTTATGTAAGAGGGAGAGGAATTCACGAACTTTGTTTTTGATATATTCTAAAGCTTTCATAATGTGACTACTAACGTTTTTCCCCTGTGCCCTTCAAATACATTATATAAATTTGCAATATCTATATGCAAATCATAAATTATCCTCAAAAATCTGAATAATTATACTTCTCTTAATTTATACTAGTTATTTTTTTTTCCTCGACATATCTGCTTCAAATCAGTAATTATCTTACTATAGACTTTCCTTAATTTATTTTAATAAATCCATGCATATTTTCTTTTCTGAGTTCATACAATTTGATTTTAGAATTTTAGATATTAAACGTTAAATTTTATGTCATTAAATGATACATTTATTATATTTCAGTGAAAATGGCTTTAATGTTGGCAGTACCTGGTAATAGTTTTCTTTACATATTATGGAATTAGTTCTACGTAGTTATTTGAGATTCAATAAGTATGAAATGTTTTTTTTTTTTTATTTCAGACACCGTAAACAACTTGTTTTCCTTACCGTTAGGTAAATATTTAGTAGTAAATTGTTAACATATATTTATATATACATATCGACAATAATTATATACTACATGTACTTACATATCGGTTACTTATACAGGGTGATTCATTAAGGATAAGACACTCATTTTCTCGGATTATATTAATATTTTAAACAATATTTTTTTTGGTACACATTGTACTATATTTTTCAATATTTTGAAAATTTTTATTAGCAATCCTTGAAGGCCAAAAAAGGGGATTTTAGTTTTTTTTTTTTTAGCAACATATGTTTTTAATTACATACATTTGTAGATTGTAGACAAAAAATATTTTAGCGTTTGAATTTTCATTTACTTGTTCATTTGGATGACTTTATAAAGATTTGATTTTTTGACTGTATATCTTAATATTTTCAATCGTTACTACAAAGACGAGTAGTTTTATTACACACATAAAAATAACTTGGTAAAGTGGGTTTGTAAAACTAACCAGTAGGTAATCTGTAGATAAGAACCGTTTGTCTATCATTATTTAAAAGTCATTTATACCAGTAACTTTTTTTTATTAGAGTGTTATCGCCAAATGGACAATGCGAACATAAATATGAACTTTATGTGCTACCGGTTTTGAAAAACCGAAGAAACATGATAATTATTTTGAGAAAATGTAGTATCTTAACAAAGTCATAGCTAATGAAAAAAAACAGTACAGTGGGGTCGGGGCATAGTGGGGACGGAGCATAGTTGGGTCGGGGCATATTGGGGACGGGGAGGTCACAGGTTTACAGGAATTTTTAAATCTGAAAGTGATAAAATCACTTTCGAAAAAACGCTTCGATGCAAATCGGTAGTTAGTATTTTCAAGCCAGTACAGTCCAAA